CTGCAAGAAAATGTTTAAAACTTCTTGAGTTTTCATCCATCAACAAAGAAGAACAAGGAATATGTATTGAGACCACGGGTGCCTAAAAAAGTAAAAATGGTGGTGGTTGCGTTGAACGAGTAACAAACCTCGGCGGAGAGAATTTGTTTTTATCCATATTTTAATTTGCTATAAGCCTACAAGTAAATGTACCCGAAAAACATAATAATAGTTAAACGAATTTAGTTCGCCAAAGCAAAATGTTGCGTAGCACATTAACCAAAACAGTAACACTAAACAAATGTAAACATTGAAAAGGTTTCACTCACACACCACACGTAGATACATTAATTTTAATGTTAACGACTAACATTACTATATTACTATAATTGACTTGCGCGATTCACAAATTTTTTTATATAACTAGGTGATTCTCCTGCGTACACGCGGATAAATTATTTATATAATTTGCTTTTAATTTTAATCTTTAAAAATGTGAAATATGTAGTTGTTTGATTTTTATTATAAACATAATTGTTGATTCTTTTGTTGTTAATTTTTTTGTCAATAATATCATATTTATTAATAATATGAATTTCATAAAATTTAGTTTTACCATTTAATTATTTTATATATGTAAATATGTCAAATCAAAATATATAATAATTTCATACATTAGAGTTTAAAAAAATGTTAAATTTGGCTTGTCCGAATATCTTAAGTAGCATTTAGAATACAAATAAATTACTTAATTAAAACATTAAAATATATAATCATAAATTTTATAAATGAAACACAAATTAAAAAATAAATTGCTGCTTTTGAATTAAAAATTATTTTTATTACTTTCAAACTGTCTTGCGTTAAAAAAATATTTCAAAAGAAGTTATATTTGTTGTCATAAACTTGAGAAGTTATTTTATATATGTACACGTGTCAAATCAAAAAGTATAATAATTTAAGAGTAAAAAAAATATCTTAACTTTGGGTTGTCCAAATACCTTAAGTAGAATTTAGAATTGAAATAAATTATTTAATATTTTAAAATATTAAAATATATAATCATAAATTTTAGAAATAAAACACGGATTAAAAAAAATTGTTGCTTTCGAATAATTTTTTTTTATTACTTTCAAATTGTCTTGCGTAAAAGAAAATCAAAGTCTCTTTTAAAAATTGGGAAATTTTTTTGTTATAATTTGAGAAATTTTTTTAACAAACATATCAAAGTCTCTTTTAAAAATTTGGTAAGTTTTTATTATTATTTTCAGAAGAGTATATATTCTATAAAAATGTTCTATAATTTTATTCTTACAATAATTAATTCCTAAACTATTTTAAAATAAGAAACCAAATTTGTATATAACTTTAGAATAAAAAAAAATCTGATAATATACAAATTAAAAACTCTTTGATTGATTTATGGTAACAAATATAAATTTAGTTGTACAAGATTTTGTTATTGATTCAAAATTGTCATGTCACAATTTTGTTAGCATATTATAATTGTTTTGGTGAGAGTGATTGTGGAGATGAAACGTAAGCATCTTCTCACAAATCACGTATGTAGGGATAAATAATTGAAATCGTTAAGATTATCTCCACAAAATATACGATATATTTTAATATATTTCCATAGAAATATTTCCGAGATTTTACTACTTTCAATTCCAATTTCTATGGAAATGTATTAAAATACATTCGAAGGTAGTAAAGCTTCGGAAATATTTCTATGGAAATATATTAAAATAAATCATATATTTTGTGGAGTTACTCTTAACGATTTTCCTAATTTTCCAATTATAAATAATGGTACTAAAATTATGGATGTTGTTAACGTCAATCAATAATCAAAAATATGGTAATTCTTATTTAATTGGAATATTTCCAGAATATTGTTCTTGTGTAGATTTTACTAAAGATTTTTATATTTTTAAATTTGGAGTTGATGATACATAAATTCTGGACCATAATAAGTACATTATTAATTAGATATCGTAAATGTTAATTTTTTTTATTGAAAACTTTCAATATTTCCAATTATCAAA